ATAGTCAATGGATTAGTGAACATTACTACTACTAACAAGAGTATTATATTATCAGCTACTAATCCTGATCCTTGTATATTAAATAATGTATCAGGTTCTCCTATTAATGATGCTAGAATAGGTTCATCTAATAATATCAGTTTTTATTATGAAACAGGTTAGCATTACTATGGCTTCATGTATATGTTCACAGTGTACCTTTCAGTTCCTCTCATTACTCCTCCTGTATCAGTGGTACCAGTAATTGATGGACAACTAATATCATTGAATATCAGTATTGATGTAAGTATATTTATTGTAAGCTCATCACATTATGAGAAGAGCATGCATAGCAAATTATCTATTGTCTATGTTATTCTATTTATAGACATATGATATATAATACTATTTTTATCTGTTCTATTTATAGGTCAGTGAGTTATGCTTTGGTGAACATCCTAACAATGCAACAGTTAATATACTGAATATTAATAATGAGATACAAGATAGTGCCAGTATATCAACACAAGTTAATGATCAACTGATGATTACTGGAGTAATAACTGTACCTAATAATTTAAATACATTTATTGTTAATGTATCACTGAGTAATAATGGAGGAGAATATCTACCTACACCTTCTTTTGGGTTTGGTAATAATTAACTATTACATTGTATATTCTTTGATTTAATCCTTCTTCTCTTTGTTAGGTTTCCTTGGTCCAGTTACTAACATTGACTCTTCAATTGACAACTGTTCTACTATTGATATAACATGGACTGCTCCTACAGTTGATGATAGAGTATCTATACTGTATTACATACTAAGAATATATGATGCTATTACTGGTAGTTTAGTGGATACTGTATCAGTAGATGATACCAGTTATCAGTTTGTGGATAATAATTTATTTATTCGCCGTTATACATATGTTATAACTGGAGTTAATGAATTAGGAGAAGGAATATCTAATAATGATACATTCTCACATCAAAGAGGTACAATAAACAATAATTACTGAATAAATGATTTTATATTTATTTAGTACCAAGATCAGTTAGAGAAGGTGGTTCAGATATAGTAACATTTAATGAGACTAATGCTACTGCTTCCTTTAATATACCAGTAATATATTACCTTGTTAACATTTATAATTATTATTTTGATAGATTACATTGGAGTGTACTGGTGAAGCTCCTGGGAATGTTACAGTTATTATACAGTGTACTGGAACTGGTGTTGTATATACTGATACTATACTAGTGGAATATGCTAAACAACCAATGAATATAACAGGATCAGTACCAGTGCCACTATATCAACAGTGTAATATCAGTATTGTATTTAGTAATGAGGCTGGTAGTAGTGAACCATTTATACTAGCATTTGGTAAGTATTCAGTATATTACTAGTATTCAGTATAATGTTAATGTACATGTATTATTCATCACATTATTATACAGACACTACTCCTCTACCTATCAGTAATACACCATCTCCTACTAATACTCCATTAGTTACTAGCACACCAGGTACAACTTCACCTAGTACTGGTTAGTTATATAATACACAATATCATTATTATACTTTATATTTATATAGTTATCATCATACCAGTAGTAATATCACTGACTATTGTTATAATAATAATAATAATAATAATAATAATGATGATAATAGCAGTGTATAAAAGGAACAGGAATAGTAAGATAATGGTAATACTTATTAATTATTATTCATTATTACAGGGGCTACCCCAGTAAATACATTACCTAATGCAGCATATGAAGGTATTAAAATTTAATAAATTAAATATTAATAATTATTAATCCAGCTTATGGTGAGGTAGGAGGAACAACAACAACTGAACAGCAACAACAAGTGACTTATGAAGAAGTTAATTAACAATTATATATTGGAAAAAACAGTAAAAATAACATATTTTATACTTTTAAGTCAAATTAAATTATTGTGAATCAATATCCTGGCCCTTTGCACTGTATTTAGCAATGGTGTTGATTTGGTAAGTATTCAGTATTAAACAGGATATTAGAGAATTTGGCTCATTTTTTAAAAAAAGGTCATAACTCAAACTTTCTACATAGCATAAGTACATCAATATGTGACAGAAAATATAATTAAGAAATTGGATTATCTACTCTTGCTAACATATACATAGATATTATAGGCTACGTATCTATGATATAATTGGCCATTTTATTTTAGCCCCGCCCATTATTATTATTTTTACATGGCGGCCAATCATTAGCTCCTGTAGAGATGGTGTTTCATAAAGATCCTCTTGGGATAATCGTCTTCCTTTCTGTGCATCTCCTTCTCCTCTACGGGGACATTGTTGTCGTTTACTATGTCATTGAATATGGCGGAGAACACGAAGGGTGAGGGGAAAAGTGACTGATATATAATAATTATTATTATTAGCACTAATAATTATTATAATTTTTTGCATTTGTTAGATCTGGTCGTACAATAATGGCTCTTTTTGTTCATTTAT